CAATTGAAATTAAGAGACAAAGTTGAAATGTTAAAAAGTGGGATGGGGATTTTGAGAAATATATTCTGCAATGGAGAAATAAGAATTAATTGATGTTATTGGAAGAGATTGGGAATTAAGGGAGGATAGTGATACTGTTTATGTATTATGTATTAAGAAGAAATTAAAATAAGATAAAGAAGTATGGAAAAAGAATATTCTGGCTGAAATTGGAAACATGTGAAATGGACTTGGGGAAAAAAAAGAACAATATGGCAGAAGCTAAAATAACAAGATATGGTGAAAAATGATTAATTTATGATAAAGAATTATATAAAAGAGATGTATATGGAAAAAATGGGAAGATTGGAATAGATTATAAAGATTAATATATGTATAAGATGCATGTGACCCAATCAACACTTCTGTTCATAAAATATGTATGATGAAAGAAAAATTCTAATAAAACTTGTTTACAAAACAAAACAAAAAAGATATTTGATGGATGTGAAAAGAAAAAAAATTATAAAAATATAAATGGTCTAAACAAATCATGGCGGATTCAGTTTGTTCAAATATCCCATTTCTGTTTAGTCATTTCAAGCCATGACCCCATCAGATATATATGAAATTAGGCTTGCTTTTTTTTTTAAAAAAAAGCTCTGTGTAAAGTGATATGCACTTTTTAACATTCTATTGCATTTTCTTCTGTTGTGCCCGTTCCTTGAATTACAAAATTTCTTATGTAGAATTTTGTTGCCATTCCTTTTATTTTAAGTATGCATGAGGAGCCATTCCTACCTCTATGTCATTTATGAATAAATAAAAAGCACTGATCTCAGTACTGCACAATTTGCAGACTCCATTACAAAACAGACTTTTTGTGAAGTTATAATTAACCTCTGGAATCATCTAAAAGTGAAAGTAAACAAAATCATTGCCATATTTTCATTGGGAATAACAATTTTAAATATTAATAACAGTTTAACACTGCGGGTAAATCCAAGTTGTCACAATTATAATTGGAGATGGAGAGTAAAGCTTATGTTTTTGTTGATGGGTGAAATTTCAAAAGCCAACAGCAAGGTAGACAGCAATATGTGTGGGATGCTTTAATTTGGATTTCTGCATTGTATAGGAGGTTGAACTTGATGGTCACCTTAAATGACAACTTCCAGCCCTGCAATTCTGTGAATACTAAACTAAGTGCTTGGGAAAGTTGATAATCTAATGCCCAAATAACTTGGGGAAGGGGAAATATCACCATATTTCTCCTTCTCTTTCAAAGCATATCAATAATTATTTCTATGTTTCCCAGTCTTCCTGTCTCAAACTTCATCCTATGTATTCGTTAGGAAGCCTACATATTTGTAGCTTTCTCTGTTCATTCCCATTTTCTTTTCCATTTCCTCTTCTCTTTATTTCAGTTATGAAAGGCTTGGGAGATAGCTAGGTGTCAACTGATGGTACAAGGAGGAAATAAAGGCTTAGGGTAAACCCTGCCAAATAACTAGGCAGTGAAACATCCCACGTTTACCATCTAGATTTACTATTAAATGGGTTTACACATTCTTCAAGGTATTAGTTTTTGTGAATCAAGTGGATAAGAGGCAGATAAATAAATTTGGAATAGATTTAAAGAGAAGGGTCTAGGATGCCCATTGGTTGTTCTGTGGCTAGGTGAATACATGGATGGGAGTAAAACAAAAGACTTCTGAAAAAGTGATTGGGCCATTTGGTGGCCCAAGAAAGGATGGAATGGTTTGCTTCAAATACACTTTTTAAGCACCATTTTATCATATATAGGCATGAAAAAGAATGAATATAAACGTAAACGTGTGGTGGATTAATTTGCTTTATGAAAAAAAGGTTGACAATATGAGTGAAGAATAGTGAGAGATTCTGAATTTGGAACGATTTTTTTGTGATGTCTGAAATATATCTTGGGGGAAAATAAATAAAAAAAGAAATTGGAAGTAGAATGATTGCAAGAAAAGAAAATATGAGTCATATATGAAAAAATATCAAAATGAAATGGAAGTGAACATAATGAATGGAAACTATAGTATACTATAGAGGTATATTTCAAAGTTACTTTGAAAAGAGTAAAAATAATTAGGTTACAATGTGCTTCTGAAATGGGTAGACTGCATAAAAAAACAGTCCAAGCAAATGAAGAAGTAAAGGAGTGTGTGAATGAGAAACATGAATGTAAGTGTCAGACCTAGAAGCCATCTTTCTACCTTTGTGCCTTCAGGCTTCAGGCCTGCCACAAGCCTACCGTGGGAAGTTGGGAGGGGGGATAGTATAGAGTGAAGAAGATATGTAGCCAAAATAATTTTTTTATAGAAAGTCAAGGCCAAGGTGCAGCTGTGCTGAGAAGAAGAGGAGGATATCTTCTGCTTCGGACTGTATATGATTGAATGTGTGGTTGACATGGGGCAAGTTCTTGAACTTTCTTTTGGGTGTGGAAAACCCAGAAGCTCTCAGATTCGGGTTTTCCCAGATGTGCCAATATGACATCTCTAATAAAAGTTAACTCTGAGGAATTTCAAGCCTCGGAGTTTGATTTCATTGGGGGTGTTACTTGGAACCCTGACATTAACCCGAATCTGACAGTAAGAGAATGAAACAAAATTTCTAGCATGTAAATTGTTGAGAATAGAATTGATTGTAATTCTGAAAGCAAAATAAAGATATAATATACTTTTCTATAATATTCTGGATACACACACCAGAAGGAAAAATAGCTGCAAACAATGTAATTGAAGAGGGGAGGGGGAGGGAGAGAGAAAGAAAAGGGGGGGGCAGAGAGAAATATAGAATGATTTTGGTAGAAATAAAACTTGTTTTGGAATTGGGTAAATAACTTAAACAAGAAGATAATATCTAGCAAACTGAATGGAAGTGTAAATATCAGTGTGGAAAGATGATGGAAAGGAATCATAAAGGTTGTAAGAATGTTGGAAAATTGTAAGGCTGCAGATATAAAATGTGTAAGTAGAGAAATGTAACAGTTGTTTATGAAGAAGCTGTGGAACTTGTTTAATGTTAAGGTTTAAGGTTACAACCGTATCTGAGAATTGGAAGAATACTGGTATTGTTCCCCTACCAAAAGAAAAATATGGCCAAAAGTTAACCAAAAGGCTGTGAGAAGTGACAATAAGCACAATTTGGCACGTGCAGTGTACTTTTTCTTGGATTTTTCAGCACTTTTTTTTTCATAAATAATTCTTAGAAATACAGACTATTTTGTAAAGTATTAATTGGTCTACTCTTATTCTACAATAGAAGGTGCAGCCTAATATAGTTTCTGAATTTTTTGGCAATATGGCTGCTTTTGGTTTTCATCCAAAAAGAAAAACAATAAACAACAATACATTGTAGATCAGTTGAAGATTAAAATAGGTGGCGCAGTGGTTAGAGTGCAGTTCTGCAGCTACTGCTAGTTCAGCAGATCAGCGGATCAAATCTCACCGGCTCAAGGTTGACTCAGCCTTCCATCCTTCCGAGGTGGGTGAAATGAGGACCCAGATTGTTGGGGGCAATATGTCCCCCAACATATTGCCTTTGGCACTGTCTTTGGTGTAAGCAGCCCAGAGTCCTCGGAGAGTGGGCGGTATAGAAATATGAATAATAAAATAATGTGCAGAACAATTTATATAGCAATTTTTTATATAGCATTTTTTTTGAGGTGTTTATAAAGGTACAAACACCTTCGGACTATTAATGTTCGACTCCTGAGATCAGCAGCAAATAACGTAAGCTTTTCTTGCATGCATTTGACTTTTGATATGCAGCCTGTTTAGTTGGACAGCAATCCTAAAAGTGGAAAGGAAAGCTATGTGTCATTTTCCTACAGCTTTAAAGGGGAGGATTGATTAATGGAGTCTCTTCAACTTTACTGAACAATGAGAGCCTTCATTTTGTGCTTTATATATATGTATAATGCAGTGGTGGGTTACTCCCGGTTCGGTCCGGTTCGGCCGAGCCGGTAGCGGTGACGATATGACGTCACCGAACTGGTTCTCTCCCCCCCTCCCTCCCACCCACCCACCCACCTACCTACCTACCTTATTCTTACCTTTTATTTGGTCCCACCCCCAATCTATTGCTGCCTCCTGAGTCCCAGCTGATGACTAGAGGGAAAAAAACTGTTTAAACTCTTGCCGCGGGGCTTCAAAGGGCCGTCCTACAGCTGATCAGTGTTAAAAGCAAACAAATGAGTCGGGTCGTAAGTGCGAGGACTGGTCGTAAGTACGAGGACCTTCCAGAAATGACTCTGATCAGCTAGCCATGCCCACCTAGTCACATGACCTCCAAGCCACACCCACAAAATAAGCCACGCCCACAGAACCGGTAGTAAAAAAATTTAGAACCCACCCCTGGTATAATGTACTAAGAGCTTCAGCTGGGTTTTTTTTTTTCACTTATATAGTCAAAAAATCCATAATAAAAAGTGTCTTGCCTTAGAAAATGTTTGGTTGTGGGAAAAGAACTGATAGCGCTATGCATTTATTTCCATATACAGCATTGGCAGGAAGAATTCCATGCACACACAATGAGTCAGAGAGAGAACAAAAAGAACGCACAATAAGATACTGGATAACTAATTAACCCAAGAATGTCAGGATTAGTACTTAGGATATCCTACTAGTTATGGTTGACCATCAGTGTTTTTGAGTGCTACCTAAATGCCATAAGACTGAACTATGATTTAGAACTTATACACATTTGTGTAGGATAAAATCATGGCTGCCTCTTTTAAGGAAGAAACTTGTTGGGGATGAGCAGTTAGCAAGTGAATTAAATGGCACAAAACTTCAAAGGGAAATCCATGTGTTTCCTCTTCCTGTCACCTCCCCGCCCCTTTTTCCTGCATATGGCCAATTTTTAGTCCTGTGTTGTGTGCATCGCAAAAGTATGAAGTTGCTTCCTGTGTTATGTTTTCAGTATTCTTGTTCCTTTTAGCTTCAGCAGCTGACTTTTTGCATCAGTAATTGTACATTTGTTTATTTCAGAGTAATGACTCTTTACTAAAGGACTTTTACAAGCGAGATCTCTACTGAAAAAAAAAACCTGACTCAATTGACCGTAGAATGGGCACCTCGAGCGAAGAGATGGTCTCAGCAGAACAGAACCTGAATCCACTCTGCTTTGAATGTGGCCAGCAGCATTGGACAAGAGAAAACCACTTGTACAATTATCAGAACGAGGTGGACGATGATTTAGTTTGCCATATTTGCCTTCAACCCTTGCTACAGCCATTAGACACGCCTTGTGGTCACACGTTCTGCTATAAGTGCCTACGAAACTTTTTGCAAGAGAAGGATTTCTGTCCCTTAGACCGCAAAAGGCTCCATTTTAAATTGTGCAAAAAATCTAGCATCCTTGTTCACAAACTGCTTGACAAGCTCTTGGTGCTGTGTCCTTTTTCTTCAGTATGCGAAGAGGTAATGCAGAGATGTGATCTGGAAGCACACCTGAAGAACAGGTAAATAGTGAGACAATGGGCCTAATCAACTTTATTATGATGATTATCCTCTATGTTACTTGCCTGCCTGCTGCCTTCATATATTTTGTTTCCTTCCCATTCTTGTCTCCTCTTTGAATGTTATTTAAAACAGGGGTCTCCAACCTTGGCAACTTTAAGCCTGGCGGACTTCAACTCCCAGAATTCCCCACCCAGCAAAGCTTTTTTGAAGTCTGCCAGACTTAAAGTTGCCAAGGTTTGAGACCCCTGATTTAAAAGATGTTGATAAATGGATAGCAATAGATCAGCCTTGTGCTTCTTAATAAGGCAAGGTGAAAGGAGGGAGAAACTTTTATCTCTGGGACTGTTGATATTTTACAACTTTCTACCCCTATGTATGCATTCTCTTTGGGTGAAAAATCATGTGAAACATTGTTTGGGTGAAAAATCATATTTGGGTGAAAAATCATGTTTGGGTGAAAAATAAGAGCTACGGTGGCGCAGTGCTTAAAGTGCAGTATTGCAGGCTATGACTGCTGGCTGCCTGCCTGCAATTTGGCAGTTCAAATCTCACCAGGCTCAAGGTTGACTCAGCCTTCCATCCTTCCAAGGTGGGTAAAATGAGGACCAAATTGATGGAGGCAATATGCTTGATTCTGTAAAACCGCTTAGAGAGGGCTGTAAAAGCACTGTAAAGCGGTATATAAGTCTAAGTGCTATTGCTATGTGATAAGGAAGAATCTTTCTCTCTCCCTTCTGATTGTCTGAAATGTAGACACAATTGCACAACTAGAAAATATTCTCTAATGTAGAATTGTCCCTCCAAAATGTGGGCAACAAGGAGAATAATTGAGCTAGATTACTTGAATTTGTTCTCCTATTAAACAACCAATGGAGCACATCAGTTAATTAAATTAATCTCAATTTTCTTTCTCTTTTGATCCTTTCCTGTCAAAAATAAGTCGAATCTTATTTTTCTAGAGTAAAAATCAGTGACAGTACCATACTTCGGATTGCAAAGTAACAAATAGAAGGTGGTATCAAAGCTATGCTCCTGAGGATGCCCACACAAAGAGAGATCTCTGCTCTACAAGCTGTTTGTAGGTCATGAAAAAAAAAATTCCCATGAGGTCCAAGGGATGATGAAAGACAACATGAAATACAGAACAGGCATTTGAGAGGTTCAGGAAAAATTGAATAATTGCTACTAGTTGCTTGGAGCTACTACTAGAATGTAGCATTTACCTGATCAAACTGCTGTCCAGTATTAATTGTCTTCTTCCTTTAAAAAAACCTTCTTTCCTAACTTTTGGCTCTTCGTTGCCTCCCGGTTCAACTTCGTACATAATTGTGGCAGGAAAAAAATGGAGGAACAGAACAGATGCTGTGCTTCAAAGGTGTTTTTTTTTTTTAATTTCATATTAAAATATTGGACACAGTATGACCATCCTGGCGTTATCTCTGCCATACACACTAAAATATAAAACTATCATATATATTCATCATACATAATTAATACAATTATTCTGCCCAATATACTCATTTATATTTACATATATTACATCACATTTCGGATCTACAAATCCTGTGTCAGGTTCCGAATCAGGATAAGAAAATAAATCGCAGACAACAGGGTGGATGTTGTTCTAAAGTTTTATCTTCCTAAATTCGGCACGCTCCGACAATCATCCAGGGCAATTACAATGAAATATTATCAGCTCTATCCTAAATTGTGCTTTCCCTTCCTGTTTTAAACCTAGCGCGCCCCACCCCGCTACTCCTCCCCCAGATTCCACCCCAAATCCTTGTGCTGATCGGAGAGCTCCAGCTGCCTTCCTCCAGCCAGTAATTCAGTGCAATTAGTCCTGGTTCGTTGGGGCCGTTCTGATTGGGATAGGTCTTGGTAAGCCTCCATTAATGCTGGCTAATGCAGCCGGCACCTCATCCACGTAAGTGCAGTCCTATCCGCCCTTAGCTGAATGGCTGAAGGAAGAGGATTCCACTGCAGGAGGAGGCAAGTGACAGCAGGGCAAGATATCCGGGCAGAAACGTGGGCTACATACTCTGTCTGCTTCCATTCCCACCGGAATGACAGCCCTGACGACGTGGGCTGACATCCTGATTATTTCCTGTTCCAACTCCCACCTCTCAGTTCCAACCATTGGTAAAATCTATTCCATATATCATGATATTCTGTCTCTCCTTTATTTTTTAACTCTAACATCAATCTATCCATTTCTGCGCAAACCAATACTTGCTGTGCTTGAAAGTTTGATTGCTCCAAAGAAAGGCAGAGTTATAAATATAACAAATAAAACAGGTAGACATTCTGCTTGGCAACTTAGTCAAGTATGGGCTGTGACTTTAATATCTTTACTTCTGGATGAGGTGCAGTACCCCAGACAGACCTGGTCCACAACTTCTGGGGGGATGGTGTTCTCCTGGGCTCATGACACCCTGCTCAAAAAGCAGCTGGCAGTCACGGCTAGGAGAGCCTTTGCACAACTACAAGTTGCAGCCTTTCCTGGATCAGGATTTCCTGATCCTCTCAGGTCACTCAAGCCCTAATCATCTCACATCTGGACTATTGCAATGCGCTCTACATGGGGCTATCTTTGAAGAACATTTGGAAGCTGTAGATGGCACAGAATGCAGGAGCACCAGCAGTTCTTAGAGCTCCTAGACTGGCCCATGTTATACCACTGCTTTGCAAGCTGCACTGCTTGCTGGTCTGCAATTTAAGGTTTTGGCATCACCTTTAAAACCCTGCATGGCATGGCTCCAATCTACTTGAGGAACCATCTCACCCCGATGGGACTGACCCACTCCATTCACGCTAGTAGAGGGGGCACATTGCGGACCCTGTCAGCCAAGTAATTTCAGCTGGAGAGATCCAGGAGAAGAGCCTTTTCTGTCACAGCTCCTGACCTCCGGAATGTTCTGTGAACCCCCTAAAGTGAGATTGGCTCCCTCCCTCCTGATTTTTCATAAGAGCCTTAAGAACTGGCTCTGCGAGATGGCTTGGCAGCTAATGGGAGGGCTTCACACTAAAGGTGTTGGGGAGGAGAGGAGAGGTCGGATTAGATTTGAATTAGTTAATTACTCCCTTCTTTGCCATCCTGTCTCCGTGATTTTATCTGTTAATGTTTTTTTTTTTTTAATTTGATTTATATGCCGCCCTTCTCCGGAGACTCAGGGCAGCTTACAATGCGTTAAGCAATAGCCTTCATTCTTTTGTATATTTTATACAAAGTCAGCTTATTGCCCCCACAAACTGGGTCCTCATTTAACCTACCTTAGAAAGGATGGAAGGCTGAGTCAACCTTGAGCCTTGGAGAGATTCAAACCAGCAGAAATTGCAGGCAGCTGTGTTAATAACAGGGTGCACTAAACCACTGTACTATCAAGGCTCTTAGGTCTACTATCAAGGTTTTTATCTGCTATGTTTTTAAAATTGGATGGTTTTTAATGCTTTTCAGTGTTTTTATGTTGTAAGCCACCCAGTGTTGTTGGATACAAGCAGGTTCTGACAGGTTTTGGAGAATCGATAGTGGAAATTTTGAGTAGTTCAGAGAAGCGGCAAATACCACCTCTGGCTGACCCCAGAGTGGGGTGGGAATGGAGATTTTGCAGTATCCTTCCCCCAGGAGTGGGGAGGGAATGGGGATTTTGCAGTATCCTTCCCCTGCCATGCCCATCAACCCACACAACACCCACCAAGCCACATCCACAGAACCGGTAGTAAAAAAATTTGAATTCCACCACTGGATACAAGAAATAAATTTCATAAATAAATGGACTGGTTATGCAGAACTCTAATAAATGATTCATTGATTATACAATTTCAGCGTTGAAGGAACAATCTCCAACTACCCATTTGAGGTCCCCACTGAACACTGATAGAGTGTAATGGTCTGTGATATATTAATAAAGTGAAACCTTTGGGTGTCAAGGCAGCAAGTCATATCCATGTCCATGTTTTTTTTTAAATTTGATTTAATTTGATTTATATGCCGCATTCAGTTCAATTCAGTTCCTTACAACTGCCCACAGAGTTATTATTGGAAAAGTAATATCCAGCATAAAGAACATATGATTTATGTTGTTCGCCACCTGTCTCATCAATTCAACTTTGGGTAGCTAAAGGAATTTAAACACAATCTAAGTATAATGTATATTAAATAAATAAAAACTCCAAAGATTCCCAAGCACACCATTCACTAATAGCATAAACTTGATTGTTCTCCTGACCCCTGTGCCTGGGAAAATACTCAGGTCTGAAAGGTAAGCCGAGTCAGGGCCAGCTGAACCTTGGGTGGGGTGGGGTTTCAGAGGGCAGGTGCAGCTCGAGCAGTGTTTCTCAACCTTGGAAGCTTGAAGATGGGTGGACTTCAACTCCCAGAATCCCCCAGCCAGCGCTGGGGATTCTGGGAGTTGAAGTCCACCCATCTTCAAGCTTCCAAGGTTGAGAAACACTGAGCTAGAGAAAAGGCAAGGTTCTTGATCCCTTTGATTCCTTAATGCGTACAATCTGGAGTATGTCCTCTCCTGACCAATCTAATGAGATGGGTAGAAATTATGCTAAAATAGTGACATGTGCATAATGATGTCATTGAACAAATGCCACCCTTATGGACTTTTGTTCTGACATCTGATGCAAAACAAATGTCATTTTGCTCTGGTTGCAGGCAGATATGAAGTCAGATAAATATGTTTTTATTGCTTTCAAGACTTCATTTCTTGGGAGTGAGGCAGAAGATTTCTTCTTTTGTAATGTATTAGTTCCTTGACTTACAGAACATGAAAACAAAACAAAGTCTACAGCTGGCCGGAGTAGTCAAAAACATGTAGATATGATCCTTTCCTTTCCTTTCCTTTCCTTTCCTTTCCTTTCCTTTCCTTTCCTTTCCTTTCCTTTCCTTCCCTTCCCTTCCCTTCCCTTCCCTTCCCTACCCTACCCTACCCTACCCTACCCTACCCTACCTCACCTCAGCTATACCAGAATTCCTATATGGATTACTTTCTTTTCTGAACCTAAGACCAAGATCATTTTTCTTAACCGGACTTTTTTCCTTTCTTTTTTTAAAAAACAAGTCATGGCAATAAGAAAGAGTGCTGAAAGTACTAATCATTCTTAATAATAAATATTGGTGGATGACCAGCAATCATTTCGTATAGGAATCACCAAAGAAGAGGATATTTGTAGCTCAGGGTTGAACTGTGAAGTCCTTGTTCTCTCTGAGCTTTGTTGTTTACAGAGATTTTATTACCCAACTAGGTAACATCATCTGTGTGACTGAATGTGAGATATATAGTAGCTTGTCCTGCCAGTTTTGGGTGTGGCTTTCTCCTTGATAGTTGTTTTCTGTTTTTAACAGTAACAGAGAGCAAACCCTACACTCACCCACACTGATGATACTACCTAGTTGGGCAATGAAATCTCTGTAAACAAACAACAAAGCTCAGACAGCACCAAACACTCAACAGAAGTTCCAGAGTCTGAACAAAATGTTACATGTGAAGAAATTTGGAAGATCTGAATCCAAAGGACATTCATGACATTGGCTACTTCTCTGTACGAGATCAATATTGCAGCAACGAGCTTTCCTGTTATATCCAGTTTTTTTTTTCTTTTAATTATAGCTCCCATCATTTCCACCCAGCATAATCAATAGTCAGAAGTGATCAAGTGGCACCATATGGGGATGCTTATGTTACATTACTTGATGCAACTAAAGATAGTTATTTTTTTCCACCAAGCATCTGTCCCCTGTTTTTATGATAATATAGAAGCATTTCTTCTCTAGGTGTGCTGGGGCTTCCAATCGAAGGGCTGCTTTGGAGAGACGGATGAACAACAAATTGCAGTCAGCCTCTGAAAGTGAAAATGAGAACGCCATGATCGATCATCTGGACTCCCAGTCACCTGAAGCAGAGCCTGCTGGCACTGGGATAGCATCAGTGGAGCAGAACATGACATCCGCGACAGTTTCGGTGTGGACAGATGAGTCTGGAGTTGATAACCCTGCTTTTGAGGAGAACATAGGAACGGAGAGTGAGTTTTGTTCTTCTTTTAGTCTTCGGTTTGATCGGTGCACTTTAAAGCAGGGGTCTCCAACCTTGGCAACTTTAAGACTTGAAAAACTCTGGGAATTGAAGTCCACAAGTCATAAAGTTGCCAAGGTTGGAGACCCCTGCTTTAAACGGTAAACATTGAGAAATCTCAAAATCAGATTTTATTCCGTCCTGCAAGCAAATAACCCATTTTTCCTACATTATGTATGTATGCATATGTATGTATATATGCATATATATATGTAACTTATATGCTGCCCATCTCGCCTAGAGGTGACTCTAGGCAACTTACAATCAATATAAACAACAAGATAGAACATTACAACAACTAAAACAGTATTATTTAAACATTTGTTTACAGAAACCTTGAGAATTAATTAGAGCTACACAGAATAAATGCTTGTGTTAAAAATAATCAGGAGGTGGATTTTTTTTTTTAAGTCTTATTTAGCTTCAACTTTCTTGTTACAGTCTGTTGAATGATTGTGACAACTGCCAAGCATTAACTTTTGATCTGCAAAACTGGGAGGTAACAATTTGCTCAGAATCAGGATCTGGAGAGCTCCATGCCTATGTTGGCGTTTATACCTATATTTTATAAAATGAAAAGCATTTAGGCCAATGACGTGCTGTATATGTACAACATCAGTTTTATCTATTGTGTTGTTTATAGATTCTTATAAGAATATGTATATAGATTCTTATATAGGCTCTGATATCACTTTAAGTGGGTGGCCATTTCAAATTTAAATTTGCCTGAAGCCGAATAATATGAATTTTCCTTTGGCTTTCACATACATCTTTATATGAAACAATTTTCTAAAACTCCATCATAATTATCCCACATAACCTTATGAAACATTCTCCCTTCCCCTGGGAAGTGAGTTTAATTCTATCCCTTATTTCTAAATGTCCCTCAAGATTTGGCTACGTCATCAAGCTTGGGATTCTCAGGGGACTGTTTGAAGTCGCTCCATTATTGCTGTTAACATTTAATCTTTCTGTGCCTAATAGCTTTTTAAAATGTTGTAATCGTGACTCTCTCTTTTTTTATATGTTTGTTGTTTTTATATGTTTGTTGTATGCTTCCCAGATGTGAGATGGGCAGCCATATAAATTGGATATACAAACAAATAAATGAATAAAAATTGGAGATGCATGATCTTCAGCACAAGCTGCTGTATGGCAGTCTGAAAATCACTGGCTGACCACGTAGCTCTTGCTGGACTGCTTTGGGCTTTAGCAGTAAAAGTCACATTTCAGGTGTAGAGATGGGAAGGCCTGGGGGAGAAAAACTGGAAAAATGGGGTGGGGGCAGGGTTTTTCTGTTTCTTTGTTTGTCTGTCTGTCTGTTTGTTTGTTTGTTTGTTTGTTTGTTTGTTTAAACTTGTTTTTTCCCCAATTTTTCCAGGGGTTTTTCCAGGCCTTCCCATCTCTGTTTAGGTGTCCCCACATTAAAAGGTAAAGGTAAAGGTTCCCTTTGCACATATGTGCTAGTCATTCCCAACTCTAGGGGGCAGTGCTCATCTCCGTTTCAAAGCCGAAGAGCCAGCGCTGTCTGACAATGTCTCCATGGTCATGTGGCCGGCATGACTAAATGCCAAAGGCACATGGAACGCTGTTACCTTCCCACCAAAAGTGGTCCCTATTTTTCTACTTGCATTTTTTTACGTGCTTTCGAACTGCTCGGTTGGCAGAAGCTGGGACAAGTAACGGGAGCTCACCCTGTTACTCAGCACTAGGGATTCGAACCGCTGAATTGCCGACCTTTCGACTGACAAGCTCAGCATCTTAGCCACTGAACCACCGAATGCCCTAATGTCCCCACATTAGCCACCTACTATCAATTTGACTTTGGTCAAAAAGTCCTGCAGGCTTGGTTTTAATTTGTTTTACTTATTGACATATCAGGTGTCTTTTTATTTTGTTGCATTTATTTTATTTTGTCTAGCAACATATTGCATTGAAAAAAATGTATTTATATGTACATATTGACTTCTTTCCCAACTGGGCAGCAATCCATCAGCCATCAAGTTTACCGGAAGGTGAGATCACCACCATTGAAATTCATCGGTCCAATCCTTATATTGAATTGGGAATTAGCATAGTGGGTGGCAATGAAACACCTTTGATCAACATTGTTATTCAAGAGGTTTATCGTGACGGGATCATTGCCAGAGATGGAAGGCTCCTTGCTGGAGATCAAATACTGCAGGTACATATCCGATTATATATTCTTCTCAACTCTGGAGTGTCTAGATTGTGCAGCTATATATTAGATGATGAGTAAGCAAGAAAGATTAATGATTTCCTGGCACATTTTTGGAATTCTCTGTTTGGGATAAAAGTTAATGTAGCAGCTAATGGCCAGAACGTGCCATAATTCAAGCAAAGTAAAATAAGTAGCTTATTTTTCAGTAGCTACTATATATTCCTGTTTCATGTTTTTTTATATCTATTTTTTATTTTTCAACCAAAAAAAAAATAGGGAAATCAAGCTGATTGTTTATTCCTTCTTTTGTGAGTGATATGAAATACTTCCATTGCCTATAAGACCTCTGTATGATACATTGGAAAATATAGCAATGTCGTTTTTAGCAGACCAATAGAAATTACAGCTGTTGATTTCTGAAGCTCTCTGCTTCCAACCCCCTGTTTACAAACCATTTTCATGTCTTCCTTTTTTCATAAAAATGCTAAGAGATTCGGATGAAATTAAGATTTGAGTTTTGATCTGCTTTTGTGGATGTTCGTGCCTTCTCAAATTAGAACTAGGTCTTGCATTGTATATGTGGAAGGAGGGCTGATGCAGGATGGAAAATTTTATTGGAGTTTTAGGAAATCAATGATGGAAGTTTACAATTATCAGTTCCTCAGGTTGATAATCTATTGGAAGGATCAATTCAAGCCCAGTCTTGCTGTATTGTTCCTTCTTTTTCCTTCCCCAGAGAATTTATCTTGAGCACAATAAGGCAGAGACAATTTTATAGGCTGCAAAGAAGGACACAGAGATTGTCATCCTGAATGTCACCATTGTACAGAACATTTTCTCCCACCAAACTGAGATAATAGAATAGAACATAACAGAGTTGGAAGGGACCTTGGAGGTCTTCTAGTCCAACCCCCTGCTCAGGCAGGAAACCCTATACCATTTCAGGCAAATGGTTGTCCAATCTCTTCTTAAATACTTCCAATGTTGGAGCTTTCACAACTTCTGGAGGCAAGTCATTCTGCTGATTAATTGTTCTAACTGTCAGGAAATTTCTTCTTAGTTCTAGGTTGTTTCTCTCCTTGATTAGTTTCCATCCATAGCTTCTTGTTCTGCCCTCAGGTGCTTTGGAGAATACTTTGACTCCCTCTTCTTTGTGGCAGCCCCTGAGATATTGGAACCCTGCTATCATGTCTTCCCTAGTCCTTTTTTTTCATTAAACTAGACATACCCAGTTCCAGCAACCATTATGTTTTAGCCTCCAGTCCCCTAATCATCTTTGTTGCTTTTCTTTGCACTCTTTCTAGAGATGTTGTGTCAGAGATGGTTGCACTCTACTGCTTCTCTTGTCCTCTTGCTTCCTTTGAATTTAGAGGATGATCCTCACACTGAATTTTTTAAAAGAGAACTAGACAGGATCATGGAAGATAAGACAGTCACTGGCTGCTGAACTATAGGCTGTACACCCTAAATACTGGTTGTTGGAAAGCACCAATGAAAAGGGCCATCACCCTCCAGTCTAATCTCGTGAGCTTCCCAAATATATACAGTTGGTACCAACAGAAGAGAAGTTGGCCAGTTGGCCATTGCATGACACAGAGTATTTATCTCGGTATGATTACAGCCTGATCCATCCAGACTTTCCTTATATTCTTATGCCTAGCGAAGATTTTAACAAATTTGTTCAAAGATGACTGGCAGTCCTTTTAACAATTCAAATACTCAAAAAGAATTGATAGTTTGAGGGATAAATAATAGGATGTTTATGTTTTCCTACCATGTTTCCCCAAAAATAAGACCCTGTCTGATATTTTTTTGAACCCCGAAATAAGCTCTTGGCCTTATTTTTGGGGAGGTCTTATTATTTTGGGGGCGCATAGAGCAAGATGGGGCTCTTCTTGCTGTTTTACCTGATTTCCAGCTCTGCATTTAAATATTTTGGGGGAGGACTTATTTCGGGGGGGAAAGCTTATTTTAGCCTATGCGCTCAAAAGCCCAATTGGGCTTATTATCAGGGGATGTCTTATTTTTGGGGAAACAGGGTAATTAGGTCTTTTGAATGTTGTCTAAAGATGCCTGCTTAGAATAGGAAAAGAGTTAGGATGTTACCAAAGTATCATTCAATTTAAAGTGTGTATCCAAGGTATTTATTCTGATTTGATGAGAACGCTTGTGTGAGAGAAGTAGTATACAAATAAAACATTGAAAAAGATACTGGATTCCCTTTTCTGCTTGCTGAGCTTACCTTAGCCTGCATAACATCATTCCAATACCATCCCTGAAGTCAATAATTGTGCATAGGTTTAGTCTATTGTAGCTAATTAGAGCCTGAAGACAAGAGCTACAGTGCCAAAATAAGGCAAGAAAGAATTCCAAAGTTGCTTTCTAAAATCACTTGGGCTTTCTGAATAGACCTTCTTTCTATGTTTATTGTGTCTCTTAAATTCCCTTTCTCTATGTTATGTTGCACAAATATTACCAATATCAATGAACTATCATTATTTTGCTTTGGTAAACTCTGTTCCTTCATTTCCCTTTAAAGTTTAAATAAAAGCTCATCAATATGCAATTGAGAAGGATTTTGCAGAATTTTCCCCAAATTTCAGTTCTCTGAGAATATATGCTCTCTACTGGCAGGAAACGTGAGAAATGGAGACTTTGTCACAAAGTTTAATTAACAAGCCTTGGGAATACTGAAGCATGTTGCGAGTTAAAAGAGAGAAAAAGAGATTAAAAGAGAAAGAAGTAGAATATATTTTTTACACCTTTACTAATACTCAAAAATGTGGCAAATAGCTATTTCACACAGAATGTGAAAAGGAAACAGTTGTTTGAGTCTCAGTGATCAACACATTTAGCAGTTTAGATTTTGGATTGGTCTTTTTCATCCTATTAAGTGATACTACAGCTTTTTTCTTTCTGCTGTTTCAGGCTTTTTCCTTCAGGGTCCTTCTTTATTTTCCTTCCTCATCAGGTGGCACAAGCTCCCCCCCAATCCGATGTAACTGGGGAATTGTAGTGCACTACCTCTGGAAGGCACCAAGTTGAGGAAGGCTGATAAGGATAGAATAAATTCATTACACAGAGTGTACCAGTATACCATTAGCATTCCTGGCTATCAGTAATGGTGAAAGCAGACTAATATAGGTAAATATATAGATGTTTTCAAAAGATCTACCTAGGTGCAAAAGGGAAAAAAAAATGTTCCCCCAAAGGTTATTCTTGAAATTGCCAAGAATCTTTGTGAAAAACGTTCAGTACATTTGGCTTTGATCTTACAAAAGTGTGAATTCTGTATATTAATAGCTCACTCATTCTCTGAATACTTAACCTTATGCACCCAGAACAGCATCTTTCATGCAGAAAAGATGGTGGGAAAACTTCCAGAAATGCAAAAACCCTTGACCTAAATGTAGTCATGATGATTATTGCAGGAACAGACAGAGAAACTGGGAAATGGGAGCCAAAAAAGGGTATAGAAATAAACGGCATCTCCTGGAAACAGATGCCCGTCTGGAACATTGAACGGGGGCAAATTGTCACAGGCCTGACGTATCTTTTCTGCTTCTTTGCTTTCAGGTGAATAACTTTGACATCAGTAACGTGTCTCACAACCATGCCAGGGCCATCCTTTCCCAGCCCTGTACATCGCTGCATCTCACTGTCCTCCGAGAGAGACGATTCGTAAGCCGAACACACAATCATAGTGATAGCCCTCCCCAGCGAGAGGATAGCTTCCATCTGACCTTACACAAGCGAGACTCAAGCGAACAGCTTGGCATTAAGCTGGTGCGCAGAACAGATGAGCCAGGAGTATTTATTCTTGACCTGCTGGAAGGGGGGCTGGCTGCTCAGGATGGCCGACTCTGTAGCAACGACAAGGTGTTGGCTATCAATGGGCATGACCTGAAGCATGGCACACCTGAACTGGCTGCTCATATTATCCAGGTAAAGTCCTGTGGCTGGGGATTCACTTCTCTTTTGCGTACTGTGATTTTACCAAGCTGGCCCGGGGTGGCTGGGAATGATGGGGCTTCTTGCCTTAATACACCTGCCAGTTGTTAGATTAAGGAAGGCCAGCCATTTAAAAGTCAAGGATGTTGATGCCCCAAATTGCATTCAAACGGAACCTTACTAACAAACACATAAATTGATAAACACTGTATACTGGATGATTATTAGAGAGACCTACAATAATTTAGTAGGGATGTGGTGGCTCAGTGGCTAAGACGCTGAGCTTGTCGATCAAAAGGTCAGCAGTTCGAATCCCTAGTGCTGCGTAACTGGGTGAGCTCCCGTTACTTGTCCCAGCTTCTGCCAACCTAGCAGTTCGAAAGCACGTAAAAAATGCAAATAGAAAAACGGGGACCACCTTTGGTGGGAAGGTAACAGCTTTCTGTGCGCCTTTGGTGTTTAGTCATGCTGGCCACATGACCACGGAGATGTTTTCAGACAGCGCTGGCTTTTCGGCTTTGAACTGGAGATGAGCACCGCCCCCTAGAGTTGGGAACGACTAGCACATATGTGCAAGGGGAACCTTTACCTTTACTTTACAATAATTTAAATAGGGTTGTGTAGCATTGCAGATTCAGAGGAGGAAAGCTGTGTCAGAAGGCACATGGTATGTAGCACCTGCCAGCAACTCCTTAAAGTTGTGTTTTCCCAGGATTCTGCCCAGGAAAAGAGCTGCCTTTTTTTTTTCTTTTGAAACCAAAGCACTGCACTGCACAATCCTATTAATTATATATTATATAATTAATTAATTGCTATATTAATTATATAGCTTTTTTTTTTCAAACCTTTCTCCCCTTTTTTTCCCCACAAGCTGGTTTCCATGGTAAAGTTGGGAAGTTTCCTGTAGGTCCCTTGAGACTAGTCATGAAACAGTATCCTGGTACACCCTTGGCTTCTTCTGCACAGCCATTGGGATTTAGATTCAGTGGACTAGCCAATTTTACTTGATATTTTTCCTTTTCTCTCTAATCCAACTTTTGAGATAGCAATCAGCAATGGCTGAGCTGATGATAGTGAAACCAGGTGCTGGCAAACTGACTGAACTAGTCAGTGGTGAAATCCAATTTTTTTTAATACCAGTTCTCCGAACTGCTCAAAATTTCCACTACCGGTTCTCCAGAACCTGCTGGATTTCAACCCTGACATAGACTCACACACACACACACACACTGGTCACATGACTGCATTTCAATGCTTGGAAACCAGCTCATCTTTACAGCCAGTTCAGCATTCCACAGTCATGTGAACCATGATTCACAATGTTTTTTTTGCTGGCTTCTGGCGTTTTTATTTTGTTTCCAGCAAAAAAAAAAAAAAAAATCCCATAAAAATACATTGATTCGCTAAACGACCATAGCATTCACTTAACAACTGGTCCAGAAAAAGTTGTAAAATTGTATCCAGTCATGTGGGGGCCTCAATTTACAACATCATGATTGACAAAGGAAATTCTGGGCTCCACTATGGTCATAAATCGAGGACTACCTGATTTTCTATTCAGGAACCAGCCATGAAGACTATATTGTACATATGAAGGAAATCGACACTTTTCCTGAGGACCTAATACTGGTCAGACTCTGTTTTCTCCACATAATAAAACAATCCACATTCTGGCATGACAGAGGACTAGTTCCAGGGGTGAAATCCAGGAGGTTCTGACAGGTTCTGGAGAACTGGTAGCGGAAATTTTGAGCAGTTCGGAGAACTGGTAGCGGAATTTTGAGTAGTTCAGAGAATTGGCAAATACCACCTCTGGCTAGCCCCAGAGTAGGGTGGGAATGGGGATTTTGCAATATCCTTCCCCTGGAGTGGGGTGGGAATGGGGATTTTGCAGTATCCTTTCCCTGGAGTGGGATGGGAATGGAGATTTTGCAGTATCCTTCCCCTGCTATGCCCACCAAGCCATGCCCACAGAACTGGCAAATACCACCTCTGGCTGGCCCCAGAGCGGGGTGGGAATGCAGGTTTTGCAATATCCTTCCCTGTTCTGCCCCAGCTACGGATCCCAAAGAACGCAGCACACACAAAGTCTGTACAAAACTTAATTTACTAAAATAACTCAGTCTTTCTCAAACAAAGGCCGTTAATAAATTTTCTTAACAGCCTACAAGAAACCAAAGATAAAGTAATCACAATCTTACTGTGGTTGGCAGAAAGCCCAGAAGCAATTTTGCAGAGAATCCAGAAGTGAAGGAGAGTGAACTAAAGTTGTTCCCTACAAATTGCTTCAGTCAGCATTCCTCCTTAAATAGACTAAGGGAGTGGCCAATTAGCCCTAAGCTTTACTCTCGAAGAGATCTGCTCCTGAGGAGCCACTCCTGCCTTTTGGCAGCTCTGCGCACCTGTACATCGAGAAGAGGCTCCTCCTCTTTATCCTCTTCACTTAAAGGAGCTTTTGGAGCTTCTGAAGGCCCTGGCTTAATCCCTGCCTCTGGCACCACATCTTCTCTAGCCTCCTCATTGTCCGACTCGAGTGCCAGCTTCACAGGCTGCTGGCGCAGCACCACACCAGCCTCTTCGTTGTCAGAATCAGCTATAATCTGCACAGGCCACTGACGGGCCACAACATTCCTCCAGGAGTGGGGAGGGAATGGGGATTTTGCAGTATCCTTCCCCTGCCACACCCACTAAGCCACGCAACGCCCACCAAGCCACGCCCACAGAACCAGTAGTAAAAAAATTTGGATTTCCCCACTGGTGTATGTGTGTTGTGTGTGTGTGTGTCTGCACAGCCAATGGAATTCCAGAACTGGGTCCTAAATGGCTTTTGGTGGGTTTGTTGTAACTTCAAACAGTCACAAAGCAACCTGTCGTTAAGCGAAGACTGCCTATACTTTGACTATTCTTTGCTCTCAGAGGTAGCCAGTGTTTATGCTCCTATCCTCCATTCATGTTTCATGTAAATCTGCAGGCCAGTGGCGAGAGGGTGAACCTAACCATTTCCAGGCCTACCAAGTCCCAAATTGTAAGCATTCTTAGAGACGGAGGAACCCATCTCACCAGTCATCATCAATCCTATCAGCTATATCACAGCAACAGGCCAAGCCCACATAAGGTAAGTTTGTGAATGGACAAGATATTTAAATTTATATTCTAATGTAAATTTACCTCTGTGTTTCCTAAACAAATAAATGAATTGAAATGCATTCAGTGCATTTCAGTGTTCATATTTTTACAGAATTTTTAATATGCTTTTCCAGTTAACTAGGTACTGAAATCCATATGGGAGGGAATATCCACATAAAATTTAATGTATTAATGAAAATCATATATATAAAGAGTAATGTATTAGGGAACTGGGTTTTTTTTTAAAGGCAGTTATTAAGCAAACCAGCATATTAAAATAGGTGTACTAAAAGAAAATGCACATTCAGACATGAAAAACTTTTTATCTGTACTCTTTTTAAGAAATTGCAAACTAAAATGGAATGAAGTCAAAATTGGGAAATTAAGAAAAAAATGAAAACACAGGAGTTACCCCTTATCTCTACAATATTGATTGCTGAAAGAATGACTTTGTCCATACATTTTTGTTAAGATTAAACGTATTGTATGATTAGATGCCTAGGAAGCTGGAAAAATGCACCCTCTACTGGATAGCATAGCTATTCCCACAGTCATCTTTGTGATTAAAAATATTGTCCTCTAAATATGGGTAGGCACTTAAAATATCCCAGCAGAATAGACAGGAATGTGCCACCTCCTACATTCAGATCCGAAAGGATGTGAGCCTAGGTACCACCTCTAAATACTCATATGTCTTCTCCCCACCCCCACAAATTGGATATATTGTATTGTTATGTAATCCAAACAGCAAGAGGAGGAGGAGGAGGAGGAGGAGGAGAAGGAGAAGGAGAAGGAGAAGGAGAAGGAGAAGAAGAAGAAGTTTAGATCATAGATTAGGGAGAGCATTAATATTTTGTGTTTGTGGAGGGGCACTTAAGTTCCTGAATCTTTGGAGGGAGGAAAATGAGAGTGTCTTTTAAATGACTATATGAGGCTTTTTAAATGAAACATATTTATTTATTGGTTCGATTTATATGCCGCCCTTCTCCGGAGACTCAGGGCGGCTTACAATGCGTTAAACAATTGCCTTCATACTTTTGTATATACCTGCTTAGTAGGGCTTTCGGCCCCCCCCTAAGCGGTGTTCTTTTTTATACAAAGTCAGCTTATTGCCCCCACAATCCGGGTCCTCATTTTATCTACCTAGGATGGAAGGCTGAGTAAACCTTGAGCCTGGTGAGATTTGAACTTGCAGTAATTGCAGGCAGCTGGTGTTACTTAACAGCATTTTAGTCTGCTGTGCCACCAAGGCTCTGTCGGTATCACTGTGACAGTAATTCACTTGTAAAATGTTTTTTTTAAGGAAATCCACTTGCATTGATATACTTAATTTTCTCTAATAACAGTTGTGTTGTGAACAACTATAATATATGCAGTTTAAAAAACTATTATCCTTAATGCATTCCTTTAGGTATGAAATCTTCTGTGAAATATATTTTAAAATGCAGTCTCCCATAGTGCATGTTTTTTGTAAGCATATTTCAATATTTAAAATTGTTGAGCTACAGTTAATGGATGCTGGCAAAGTCTACATGACTATTTGTTCCCCATCGGGATCTGTTTGTGCAGATAATTTGGCTTCCCTCCTTCAGACTTAGCCTAAGTTAAATGTGTGCCTAAACTCTTGTTCTTTTTTTTTTGTAGGATCTCTCACAATGTGTGACTTGCCAAGAGAAGCATATCACAGTGAAGAAGGAGCCCCATGAGTCCCTTGGCATGACAGTAGCAGGAGGTCGAGGCAGCAAAAGTGGGGAATTGCCAATATTTGTTACAAGTGTACAACCTCATGGCTGTTTGGCAAGAGATGGCAGGATCAAAAGAGGTAAAAGCAAAAGGCAGTATTGAACCAGTCTGTTGGATAGATGGATGGATGGATGGATGGATGGATGGATGGATGGATGGATGGATGGAAAGGGAAGGGAAGGGAAGGAAGGAAGGAAAGAAAGAAAGAAAGAAAGAAAGAAAGAAAGAAAGAAAGAAAGAAAGAAAGAAAGAAAGAAAGAAAGAAAGAAAGAAAGGACTGCCCCTTTTAGCATACCAGGCTGATTGGAAAATGCTGACATTGAAGCACAGAAAAAACAGACATTATAGTTCTGTCAAGTGTGATGCAAGCTGCCAGGTGTCTTCTGCATCTGTACATATGTGACATCCTGTTGTTAGGTAAAGCACAGAAAATAGCAATTTAGTAGTATTCATTTGCAATTGAATATTGCCTCAACGGGACCTCTTGTTGGTTTTTACCCAGGTGACGTGTTGATGAACATTAATGGCATTGATCTGACCAATCTGAGTCACAGCGAGGCTGTGGCTATGCTCAAAGCCAGCGCTGCTTCCTCGGTCGTTGCTCTGAAGGCTCTAGAGGTCCAGATTGCAGAAGAGCAGCCTCAGGCAAATGATGAGCAGCCGAGCACCATCAGTGAGAATGAATATGATGCTAGCTGGTCGCCATCTTGGGTCATGTGGTTAGGACTTCCAAGGTATGAGTAATTTCATCTTCTTTGTAGCATCTGCATTTTTTTTTTTCTGAGCAGGGTTGAAGATTATGCTATTTTCTATACTCAACCTCAGAAGCTCTTTGCAAGTCCTGTGCATGCCATTTTCTTACAGTATAATGTGTTCAAAATAGAAGACATTATTATTATTATTATTTTCATTTGATTTATATGCCGCCCTTCTCCGGAGACTCAGAGCGGCTTACAATGCGTTAAGCAATAGCCTTCATACTTTTGTATATTTATACAAAGTCAGCTTATTGCCCCCACAAACTGGGTCCTCAATTTACCTACCTTAGAAAGGATGGAAGGCTGAGTCAACCTTGAGCCTGGCGAGATTCGAACCTGCAGTAATTGCAGGCAGCTGGTCTTAATAACAGGGTGCTTTAGACCACTGTACTACCAAGGCTCAAGACATTATTGTAATTTTTAATAAGGTTTCTATAATATGTGATTTTAGAGCAGTACCTTTTTTTTTTTTAGAGTTTCTCTCAGAATATCAGGATTAACCTATAGTTTCTTGTGAAAACCCAAACCAACAAAACAAGGAAGCAGGCCCTGTTTGGTAAAAAGGAGTCCATTTTAAAAAGGAGCTATAAAAGTGATTTGTCATATATTTATTATTTGCTATTTTATGTTTAAAGTGTATCTGCTCCCTTCAAGACCTCAGGTTACTTTTCCCAAGGTTTTCCAAAAACATTCTTGATCTCATAGAACAGGGGTCTCCAACCTTGTCATAGAATATGGATCCATGTTTGGGTATGAGGTTTGGGTATGACTTAATATTTTGCCTCGATATTTAAAAGGTGTGCCGCACTTCAGAGAAAGAAGAGCTTTTGTTTAGAAATGCATCTTACCGAATAATTACTGTTTGAATTATTAAAAATCATTAATTCATTCTATGAATTAGACAAGCCTGAAAGAGTTATTACTATTTGTTAGAGGTCTAACAGATTTGCTTAATAGATTTTACAACTACTTGCCCTTTTTTTTCCCCACAGCTGCCTACATAGTTACCATGACGTTGTGTTAAGAAGGAGCAATCTAGCCAGCTGGGGATTTAGCATTGTTGGTGGCTATGAGGAAAATCACACAAACCAGCCTTTCTTCATTAAAACAATTGTTATAGGAACACCAGCATATTTTGATGGAAGACTCAAGTAAGACTTCTTTTTGTTTTTTATCCGTAATTTTAACAAGATAAGGAAGTCGCCAGAGCTCACAGTTGATACTTCAGATTCGTTCTCAAGTCCAGCGTTTCTTAATCTTAGTAGTGTTAAGATGTATGGACTTCAGCTTCCCAAATCCTGGGTGTTGGAAGTCCACACTTCTTAAAGTTGCCAGGTTTGAGAAACACTGCTCAAGGCAATATGAAATGTGTGTACTTCGTGTGTTAGAAGTAACGCTTTGTAAAGTACAGATCCTGATGCACTGAGCAGGGAATTTGACTGACAGGTAGTCTTCTACTTACAACTGGCATTAATGGCTATTCAGAGTTATGATGGACTAAAGTGACATATGACCCATCCTCAGAGTTATGACTCCTGTCCCCTCTTACAGTCACATGATCATAGTTGGGTGGCTGGCAACCCGGTTGCATTTACAACCAATTGTGGGGTTCCGTGGTCATGTGACCATGATTTGGGAACTTTTGTTTTTTTGCTGTTTTTCAGTAGAAAGGGAAGGACAGACCTGGTGGAATTCCCCAATAGCTTTTTTTTTTTTTTTTTAGAAGGGAATGAACCAGTTCCTCCTTCAAAACTGGCAAGACCATGCCTCATTCCCATCACCAGATCCTAACTGCATGTCATCTTCTGGGGAGGTTAGGTAACTAGGAGGGACAGGGATCCAAGCTTATAATCTGAGAATCATATATACTTTCTGAGAACTAACAGGATCAAATTCCGCCCGGATAACCAAGCCAGACTGAGGCTCATTTACCTTCATGGCACCTGCCTCAAGGCTAGAATCCAACTTTTAGCAAATACTTTAACTCAGGGGTCTCCAACCTTGGCAACTTTAAGAATTGTGGACTTCAACTCCCAAAGCAAAGCTGGCTGAGGAACTCTGGGAGTTGAAGTCCACAATTCTTAAAGTTGCCAAGGTTGGAGACCCCTGCTTTAACTAACAGATACTTAGTATATTCCTCACAACAGCCTTGCCTGGTGAACTTCTGACTCCAGCTTTCTCAGGAGGATCTGGGTTATTTTCCCAATTTGATATCCTTCAGATGTCTACCACAAACCAAGAATCCATTACCCACCAAATCACCCCATATTCCTCCCCCCGCCCCCCCTCCCACTTTTAAATGCTAAACGGAATGTTTTCACTTTTCGGCCTTTCCAGATATTTTCCACAGCTACGCTATTTAGTGAATCAACTTATAACCAGTTCCATTAACTGAAGTGTTCTCAATTAACCCGGCAATAGAAATTAGACATTCAAAATCATTTGAATTCAATTGTTACTTTTTAAAAAATCTGAATTACCAGCATCATCTTCAAAGAGGCATACCCTTCTGTGGTAGAGACAATTAGTGAGAGATAGTACTTGCTGTATTTAACATAAACAAAATCAGGGATGAAATCCAGCAGGTTCTGATCAGTTCTGGAGAACCAGTAGCGGAAAGTTTGAGTAGTTCGGAGAACCGGCAAATACTACGTCTGGCTGGTCCCAGAGTGGGGTGGGAATGGAGATTTTGCAGTATCCTTCCCCTGCCATGCCCACCAAGCCACACCACGCCCACCAAGCCACGCCCACAGAACCGATAGTAAAAAAAATTGGATTTAACCCTTGAACAAAATGCTTTCTTCTTTGAAACAAATGTTTTTTTGCAAATATATATCAGTCAGTTAACACATCCTTTACAACTAGAATGATGTCAAGTTTAGTCTTCCATCACACCTAAACAGAGGCATCTAAGAATTGGTCGTGCAAACTCAGGTCATTTTCTGCAGTGTGTGGGATTGTGCAATTTACTAATCCTCGTTGTTTCTCTCCTTAGATGTGGTGATATGATTGTTGCTGTCAATGGACTTTCAACCATGGGTATGAGCCATTCAGCGCTGGTTCCTATGTTAAAGGAACAGAGAAATAAAGTAACATTGACTGTTATCTGCTGGCCAGGAAGTCTTGTATAACGTGCAAAGAACATATACATTGGTTGAAGCAGCTTTTTTTTTTTTAAATAGCTGGCTCGACTTTTTCAGGCAAAGCTGTGTTCCCCCCCCCCCGCCCCCTTTTCTACTAATGCAGCTGGTAATAAGCTGGGCCAAAAAATTGCTACCTTCATATTTGACAAATGTGTATAAACAGGGGGTGCGTGGGAAAGGATGATTTTTAACTGTACTGTGGTGTTCTTCCCATCCTAAAAGTAGCCATTTCTATCAAGTTTTGTTTATTATTATTTTGTTGATTTCCCATCATTATGTCATTGCGGTATCCATGTGCATATACTTCAGTTTCTTGGCTGGTTTAAGGAGGTCAGCCTATTCCAACAATTGTAGTGGGGGGCAGGATTGCACCGAGTCTGGGTGCCAACATGCTGGCATGTTAGCTACCTGCTAGGCCGATCTCTGCATTGTTAAACACAAGTGCAAATGTACAACCTGAAGACAGCAGGTTAACAACAAATGACACGAAAGGCCTTCTACATAAGAGGTGGTTATCCTGTGAGGTGCTTCCTATTTAGGTTTTCAGCTTTGCTCACGGAAGGGACACTTGGACCCCCCCCTGTTTCAATTGTTAAAATGTGTTGCTGCGTTAAGATTTAAAAGATTAACATCTACATATTTTTTTCCCTACATTTCAGTATTCTTCTGTTGATATGAGAGCCTGAGCAATTCTTTGTGCTATGACTGCCACATAGAAGTTGCAGGAAGTAATTCCATGTAGCACATGCTCCATATAATAGTCTTAACCCATAAGAAGGCCCACTGCCCCAAGGTTACAGTTGGTTTTCTACTATCAAATGCATTGGGCGGCAGGGAGTGGTGGAAAGAAAGAAAACGGTTGTCAGCCATTGCCCAACAAAAGTATTTATGGCATCGTAATTATAATGTACCAATTTGTCCCTGGCTACATGTAATCAGCAAGGCCATGTTTCATGTGAAGCATGACGGTAGCTTGTAAGAACCCCGGGTAGCATAAATAGTTGCCCCAAGGCTGAAACTGCAATCAGTATTATTATTTAAGGCATGCACCGATGCATGACCAACCTATGAAAGCAGCATCAGATGCAGAGCGGTGCTTTGCTTATAGGCAGGTATCTTTTGTGATAATTCCAAATCCTGTAATCTGAATAAATTATGAGAACTTGCCATTATGTCTGCATTTTCTGTTTTGCATAATTTATTCCTCCATTAAGTCTTCATTGTGTATTTTGCATTCTCATTGGACAAGGCATGGGGTACAATGGAGCTTCTTGCCACAGGAAGCTTGGCTCACCCATTCCCCAACTTTCAAGAGTCATAAAATAACAGGGCAGGAAGGGATCTTGGAGGTCTTCTAGGCCAGGGGGCTCCAACCTCGGCAACTTTAAGACACAGCAAAGCTGTCTGAGGAACTCTGGGAGTTGAAGTCCACAAGTCTTAAAGTTGCCATGGTTGGAGACCCCTGTTCTAAGCTAACTAGAATGAATAACCAACCATTGTTTGAGAACCTCTAGAGATGGAGTACTCACAACTCCAGGAATCAGGTCATAGTCCTAATTCTTCCTAATTTTAAATTTGGATCTCTTTTGGTGAAGCTTCCAGCTTTTAGTTCTTGTCCTATCCTGTGGCACTACAAGGAATACCCTGTTTCCCCCAAAATAAGACATCCCCTGATAATAAGCCCAATCGGGCTTTTGAGCGCATGGCAAAAAGGCCAAGTGCTTATTTCAGGGTTCAAAACAATATAAGACAGGGTCTTATTTTTGGGGAAACATGGTACATGTACATCCTCTTCCCTATGTTAGCCCTTCTGGCATTGTAAATTTTTGTGTCTTCCCTTAGCCTTATCTTCTTTAGGATAAACATCCCGCTTTCCTTTTAATTGTTCTTGATAAGATTTAATTGCCAAACCCCTCATCATCTCTTGTTCTTCGCTGCCTTCTTTCCAATTCCTGTACTGTGGCAGCCAATCCCAGATACATTATTCTAATTGTAATCTGATCAGGCCACCACATGGTAGAACTGTCATTTCCCACAATCTCAAGACTATACCTCTGTTGACGCAGCCTAAGGTGGCATTGGCTCTTTGGACAGTTGCAGCACATTGTTGGCTCTTATTTAATCTGTGGTCTACTAAGACACTCAGATCCTTCTCACCAATACTACTTTCAAAAGAAATACCATCAGTATTGTACTTGCGCATTTGGTTTTTTCCCTCCTTAATTGCAGAACCTTACATTTCTGACCATTGAACCAAATTTCATTGAAAGGGCTCAATATACAAATCAATACCCTTTGAACCTTGAGCTGGTCTTCTGATGTATTGCCAATCTCTCCTCTCGGCTTTGTGTCATCTGCAAATCTGCTTAGCATCCGTTCTATGGCTTGCCTGAGTCATGTATAACAATGCTGAAGAACGCTAGGTCCAGAATAGAATTCTAAAGTACCCGTTCCCCTTGATCTACTAAGGACCATGAATTGGGTACTATTGTTCAACCAACAGTGAATCCATCTGATAATAGAACCATCCATTCCAGAACAGTTCTAGGTTATGTAAAAGAAAGCCATGGTCAACTTTATCAGACTGGGGAGCATTGAACCAAATATATTTCTTTAATCATAAGGTCTATATTTTTTTTAAAGTAAAAGGTTGTAGTGATAAGTGAAAGTGAAGGTACAGAATGTACATTGACACTTCATGAAGTGTATACAATTGTTAGAGTAGATACAGAATAAATTCTTTCAAAAGAGTGATGCTTTAATGAAAATCTGCCACACACACACACACACAACTTTATTTGCCTATTACAGTTCTTGGAAAATAGGTCTTGCCAGTTCTCTCTTTCACTAAGGAGATTTAATAGCAGAAACCTAGCTAATTAAGGTGTATGTTTTGTAGACTTCATAGTCTCTTTCAAAAGAGCAAAAATTTATGTGCGTCTCAATATTCCTAATCCCTACAAAATGTATTTGAACTTCTTTCCATCCCAACTGTGTTCACTGAGTAGGACCAAAGCCTACTTTTTTAAAAAAAATCAATGAACTGCAATAATTGGATTATTTTTTGAATATTTCATGTGTAAAGGGGGTTGTACCCTTCAATAAAATGTAATGTGGGTATGATAACAGTGCTGGCAACAGTAACAAAAATTAATTGGGGGTGACATTAGTTTGATCTGCAATATTAACATGCATTGATAATTGCTGTCCAAAGTGAATGTTTTGCTATGTAAAAAAAAATGTTTTTCTAAAAACCATTTTTACACTTTATACTGCAGCTAATTGTAGCTTTCTTGTGTGTCTTATATGCAAAAGCTGAGAAATAATTTAGAAAAGGGAAAAACTATTACTAGGAGTGCTATGTTATAATTTCAGGAAGTCTAAAGAGGAGAAGGAACCCAATACCCATAACTGGGAGAAAGAATGATATTTTCCCTTGTTATTTTGTCTCCTGATAAAAGCCCAGATGCCTTTACCTAAAATGCTGAAACAACCTATGTTGTTTATGGAGTCGTTTCCTTAATTATTTACCTTCTCTGAGCTGAGGACAGCTAGTTTGTTTTATACACAGATTCACACTTCCATTCTACGACAAACCTCTACCGTAGGTAGTTGGACAATATGGACATCCTTTTGTAAAGCACTCAATGTTGGCTTTCAAATGAATCCAGATTTCCTCTGCAAAAGTCATTTGACCTACTTGAAAGTAGTCTTAATTCATAATGGTTAAGTACGTTTAGAATGATCTGTGTATTATAATGCTAGTATTACTTATCTGAGAATGTATTTTACCCTCACATCTATCTAATATGGGCATGCATTTTTCCTGCCTCCCTTCCCTCCCATGTTTGAAACATTCTAATATGAAATAATATGGCATGTCTTTTTGAGTTCTTTGCTCTAAAGAAAGCGGTAAGACTTTGATTTAAAAAAAAAAAAAACCAACACAACAAATATGATTTTACTTCTGTCCTGTGCAATGCAAAATCTTATGCTTTCACACTGTAGATCCATACGGTATCGCTGTGTTTAATAATATCCATCAAGGATGGGAATTTATTCAGCCCAGTCAAGAACTGCAGTGAAAATTCCCATTTGTACACAGACCAAAGTCCAAAGAACTTCCTGGAGTTGCATAAGGAATGTTGTATCTTCATGAATTTTTTCTAACTGTCTCTGATGCTATATTGCACCTTGCTTTTGGAATTCTCTGTTTCAAAAGCAATTGATGTGACACATAGGAGGAGGTAACTACAATTGCAAAACTTTTCACATTCTAGTAGGTTATTGCTACTATGTATGTAGCCTTCCATATTTGCTGTAATAAAACGGCCCTCCTTCGTAAAGAATCCCATTGTGAAATCCCTTGAAGATGGGGTACACTTCAGGGTCCAGCAGCCACAGCAGTCAGGATTATGAAGAGAGAAATATTGCTGTGGATAAGAGGATATCACTGTAAAATAGAAAGCTGGCATGATGAGGTTAGTGTTGTACCATCATTATGGACACATTCAAGGTGGAAAGATTGAGGGTTAAGCCTTAATGTCTCTACAATAATAAGCAACTATTTCCCCTTCCTTGAGTGAATGATGGGATATAATTTTTCGGTTTTAACTTTGTAAACAAAGCATTGCATTTTATTGCAAGTTACCCTACAGACTAATGAGGAACATAGTTGTCCTGCATTCAGCACATGCCATTTGAAATTAGGCCATTGCACTGAATGCTCAGGCAAAACTATCATCTCGTGTAGTGGCAAAGAGTACCATAGACTTTGTGCTAGGGTTTTGTACTATCAATTACCATCTCTATTAATAGAAGCTGGTACCAGGTGGATTCTCTTATCCTTGCCTATTTTTTATTTATTTATTTTTATTTTTTGCTGACATGTTATTTCAATTTCCTTATTATTCTCATGTATATCATTGGGTTGGTTCTTTAGTGCCTTCTGTCTTAAACTATACCATACAGTGAATTCCAGTGCTGTGGTATTAACTGAAGGATAAGAGAAAAATAAAAATGAGTTTTCCTTTTGCAGTGGTGTATGGTCTTGACTGTTGTCTTTTATAATGTTCTTCTCTCACTGGTGAGCCAAATCCACTTGCTGTATGGAGCGTTTCACACTAATTACGTCTTTTTCCAAAATGCTTCGGTCAATTTGAGATCCAGCTTTCCACTTTCCTAGTAGCGTACGTGATTTAAATGTATTGAGTTATATGCATTTGGGCAGGGGGGAAGGGGTAATAGTTAGGTTTCTTAAGTTTTAATCATCCTCTTTACACACACACACACACACACACACACACATACGGACATGGACTTACTTTGTTGCAAATCTCAGGATTACTCCCAGTTTGCTAAATCCCTCTCTTGTGCATCAGTGGTGCCGATTTAGCTATAGAAGGATCCAGATAGCATTACATTAATACACATTATGTTAAGAGCTAAATTAAATACAACGTGTCTTTACCGGGAAAAAAAACAGAACTGATTTAAAAGTAAGCTCCTTGATCTACCAACTTAGACATTCAGTTCTGAAAGTTGTACAGCTTTGATCACTTCCGTCATTTGCAAAAGTACATGCCTGTTAAGACGTTGTGGGATTTGGAACAGAGATTGTTCGGCACAATTTAAGGGATGTGAAGCTTACGGATGCTTTGTGCATTACTTTGTGCGCTTGATTTCATTAGAAAACAAGAGTGCAGATTTTTAGTATACATCACATGGGTTCAGCATATTTTTCATCCTTATACTGTCATCAACTAAATTTATTTTGCATACCTAGTAAATTGAAAACAGCATATGAAAAATATTCCCCCATCGATTGTGATCCATAGATTGGAAAGATAATGCTTAGAATCAAATCAAATTTAAGATTTATTTATCTTTCCCCACTGCTAAATTGAAACACTGCCTACCTATCAACAGAAAATGAAACAGGCGTGAACATTGCTATCCCCACTGTCGGTTCCTAGCTGCCTCTATTGCAGTGTTTCTCAACCTTGGAAGCTTGAAGATGGGTGGACTTCAACTCCCAGAATCCCCCCAGCCAGCGCTGCTTACACCAAAGACAGTATACTAAATAGCACATTGCCCCCAACAATCTGGGTCCTCATTTTACCCACCTCGGAAGGATGGAAGGCTGAGTCAACCTTGAGCCGGTGAGATTTGATCCACTGATCAAATAAACTAGCAGCCAGCTGAAGTAGCTGCAGTACTGCACTCTAACCACTGCACCATCTCGGCTCCTTTTATTGTCTCAGTTTCAGGTCACTGCAGTCCCCCACGTTCCTTCCAAGATCCTGGGTGACAGTGCCTAACAGAGTTTACATACTGTGGGCTGCCCTTGGAGAATACTGGAATAAGGAGGAAAATATCACTTCCTAGTACAGCTAACAATGACTTAAGTCTATCTCACTCAAAGACTGGTGGAGAAGATGAAGCCAACATTATGAACACGTGGCACATGGCAGAAAAAAGTTTCAAGGATATGTATGTTGCATGATTACTGCAAGTAGGGGGAAAATATCAATTTAAGGTGATATTTAAATTTAAGGTGATATTTAGCCTGACTAGGTGGCTCAGTGGCTAAGACACTGAGCTTGTCAATCAGAAAGGTCGACAGTTCGGTGGTTTGAATCCCTAGTACAGGTCTCCTGCCTGAGCAGGGGGTTGGACTAGATGACCTCCAAAGGTCCCTTCCAACTCTGTTACTGTTAAAGGTTTAGCAGATTTGTGGTCAACTAACAAGGCTTGTAGACCAAACAGGAGGCCCCTGGCATTGCTTTTACTTGGCACTGCAATTCAACTTGAGCCGAGGTGGCGCAGTGGTTAGAGTGCAGTACTGCAGCTGCTTCAGCTGACTGCTAGTTTATCAGATCAGCAGATCAAATCTCACCGGCTCAAGGTTGACTCAGCCTTCCATCTTTCCGAGGTGGGTAAAATGAGGACCCAGATTGCTGGGGGCAATATGCTATTTAGTATACTGTTTTGGTGTAAGCCGCCCAGAGTCCTCGGAGAGTGGACGGCATAGAAAGATGACAAATAAATAAATAAATAAACTACATTTCGTGAGTTTAGGAATAGATGCAAGAGAAAAAAGAACAGAAACTGTTGTTTTTCTCCCTACTACTAGGCAATAACAAGGATTACTGAAAAAAGGAGACAACGGTAAGTAAGAAGTTCATCAATCAAGGCAGGGAGCATGAAGGCCTATAGATGGGCCACTGCGTAAAGTATTTGAAAGCACAGAATGGGGTAATTGCATGCAGGGGTCTCAGCAGAAGGTGGTAAAAAAATGAAGATAGTATCTGCAATAATGAGATCAAAGCTCTGCGGGTTTTTTAATGTGTGGTGCACATAAAAAACAAATGCACCATCATGGCTGCTATATTGACATTTTAAAATCACCCCCTGCAGATGCTTCTTGATCTGATGAATTCTGACTAAGAGGCCCAAAGAAACAACAGAATATGCAAATATAGTTAACATTAATCTTTACTCCAAATGAATCATGATTAAGATGTTTGCAGATCTAATCACTGTGTGTGGATGAACATAAGACATTGGTTTGAAACACTGGAGACTTAGATCATAGTAAGTGAAGTTCTTTACATTTGAGTTTTACAGAGGCTTTCATAATTATGTCCCTTCTGATTATTCTAGATGAAATTCTGATCATGCCCTTCTAAAAATGCCTCAGATTAAAAGCTTTTACGAACTCTTTAGGCCATGGGCCTGCAATTATAGAAAATGAACTGCATTTTAGCTTTCCATTGAAATTAATAACAGCACTTCTCCAATTGACTCAGTCAGTAGTTAATGGAATAAACTCCATATTTCACTACAATATGGTTTTAAAGCCATTTGAGGTAGGTTCTGTGTTTCAAATGGGATAATAATTCACACAGTACAACCCCTTCTCTGGGGCAGATGTTACAAAATCCAAAACGTGTCCTGATTTTAAGATGTAATGGCTCAATGATAATTAACTGTATGAATCTGATCTTCCTTGCTCAATATTTCAAAAGAGTTTTTCATGAGGATAATAATGTCTAAATAGAAATAATTCAATAGAAATAAATAAAAGTATAAATGATGAGGTGGTGGATAAACAGGAATCTATCCTTAAACAACTTTCTATTTCATTGTATTTTTCAGCCTCAACGAAAACAGATTTTTCCTAGCTGATACTTTCCACATGTGTTGTTTGGTTTGGTTTTTTTGGTTTTATTTGATTTGTATACCGCCCTACTCCCGAAGGACTCAGGGCGGTGAACAGCCAACAATAAAATACATAAATACACAAAATTTAAAAACCCGATAAAATCAAATTAAACTTTTTGGCCCAGACAAATTAAAATACCCCAATAATTTAAAAACAGATTAAAATTTACATATTTTAAAAAGGGAAGAGATCAGGCCAAGCCCGCTTGATGGAATAAAAAGGTCTTCACAGCACAGCGGAAGGAACGCAGATCCGGGATCCTCCGTATCTCCGGGGGGAGCTCATTCCAGATGGTAGGTGCCCCCACAGAGAAGGCTCTCCCCCTAGGGGCCGCCAGTCGACACTGTTTGGCTGACGGCACCCGGAGGAGTCCCTCTCTATGAGAGCGTACTGGCCGGTGGGAGGCTATTGGTGGTAGTAGGCGGTCCCGTAAATAAATGTTGTACCACAATGCTTAGCTGGGTACCTGCAAATCACCTCAGCTCATTTCCAGTTTTGTTTAATTACAACAAAATAATAATCTCATTTGGATCAGCACAACTGATCCAGGGTAGATAAAGCCTAAACCTTTCCCAATCCCATCCAAAACAACTATTTATTGCCAGCATCTCAAAAAAGGAGTAAAGCACTCTTTTAAAATAATTAAAGTGATGCATCTTTTTTCTTGATTTGTGTGGCTGCTTGTAGAAGACATTACAAAGCACCCATGAAAACATGGATAAAAATAAAGCTGCTTTCATTATTCAAAAAAAAAAAAAAGTGCTTCGGCCACACCTTCATGCACCATAAAACTCCTCCAAGGAAGTAATGAGCTGTGGTGGCATAATGGTTAGAATGCAGTACAGCAGGCTACTTCTGCTGACTGCCGGCTGACTGCAATTTGGCAGTTCAAATCTCACCAGGCTCAAGATTGACTCATCTTTCCATCCTTCCGAGGTGGGTAAAATGAGGACCCAGATTATTGGGGGAAATATGCTGATTGTAAACTGCTTAGAGAGGGCTGTAAAGCTCTGTAATAAAGCAGTATATAAGTCTAAGTGATATTGCTATTATGAAGAATCTGCACAGATCTAATATTCAGTACTGGCATATAATTTTATTTACTCCTGAAGTAAGTACACAAGGTACCTGTCACAGGATTTCTTCTTCCCCAAAGAGAAGCCATTTTCCAAGATGGCTTTGGGAGGCAATTCTCAGGGACCAGAAGAGGTCATTAAGGGCTGTGCAGACAGCATTGTCAGCCACAGTGTCAGTGAAGGATGCCGTATTGTATCCACCACTGAATTTATTCATTTGTTTTTGTACACTGCTTGACTCTGGGCAGTTCACAAATAAAAATGTGACCCAAGAGAAAAGGGAAAACACCACTTTAAAATTGGAGCCACTGATGGTGACTTTAAGCTAACTGCATTACAGGGTGAGAATGCAAGGAAGACAATATCATGAAGATGTGCTAGAAAAAAATATATATAGCAGGGCATATTTGTGCAGCTGTTAGACAAACTTGTGAATGAGACTGATGTTATTATGATCTGTATATGTTAATACCGGTAAGTATATTGAGTCATGCTTGCCCCTTTCTACAAACAGAACATGAAAAAGATAGGAATTCTGGATACAAAGCCTTAATGTATCCCTTCTTCTGCACTGTCTTACAGTTTTATCACCAGTGGATGGTCCAGGAGAAATAGCCCACTAACAGACAGATCTGGGTACTCATGCTAAGAATCTATTCTGCTGGAAGAACAGGGTCCACCCTTGTATTCATCTCTTAAAATGCAATCTTATGTAGACTTACCTGGAAAATAAT